AAATCAGCTTGATCAACATCACTAGTTCTGTAAGATTAGCACTGCAGGAAGAATGGGATTGTACCAGACAATAAACAGAAGTGATTCTTTTTTTCTAAGCAGCTTTATCAAAAACCTCAGAGGCGTCATTACAAGAGACTCTGACATCTCCACCCCTCAGCTCTTTCTCTATTGAACAAAGCATGTAAGGAAGGAATTTTAGATGGCCCTTGCAATGCAGCACTGATTGCAGCTTTCAGTCACAGATTCCTGTATAGTGATCTTCCTTTATGGCTCGAAGTGCTTCACCACAGGCTCTGATAGTTGCACTTCAGTCCAAGAAGTTCTGGTAGCTCTCTGCATCTGCCCTGGTACTGGGTCTCACTCACCAGTCTTTTTTGCTCCCAGACAGAAAAGCTGTGCTGAGGGGTAGCTGTATTGTCACTGTGTGGTGGTGATGTATTTCTGGCAAGCTTTAAACAAGGGATGGAGCAGAGATGGTAGAAAAAGCAAAGCATGGCAGGTATGCACTAGGAACAGCCCACAGCTGTTCTGGCTGTGGGAAACAATGATGCTGGTGACATTGGTGGTTGAAATGGGATCAGAAGATAAAATAGAGCCTTAGGCAAGGAAGAGGTTCTCAATTTAAAACAGAGGCACATAAAGCAGGGAGAGCTAGCCATTTAAGCAAAACTGTTTAGCTGTGATATTTTGTAAGGAATGCACAAGGCTGATGTTATGAGCCAGGAAAAAAGGAGGGAGTTGCAGAAAGGAGGAAAGGGACTGAGAAGGAAATGAATGAGTGTTCTGGGACATTTGTTCCCTTCTATTTCAGAGAAATACCTCTTTCAAGCAGTAATAACCTCCTTAAAAAGCAAAATGGACTGAGTGTTTCAGTGAGGATGCAGGACACTGCCCTGCTCCAGTGAAGCACTTAAGCACATCCTTACTTTCAAGCTTATGGGCAGCCCAGAAAACCAACAGGAACATGCACTTTCTTGGACAAAATTATGAATATAAATGCTCTGCTGGATTCAAACCTGGGAGCTAGATTCTGCCTTCAGCTCCAGTCATGTAGCTTCAACAAAGGCTGGACTGACAGCTGGGAAACACTACCCTGTGTGTATGTGAATGTAATGAAAAAGCTCTTACCAAATAAAAGACATTGAATTGAAATAATATATTTAACTTTTACATAATAAAGTTATAATTTTCAAGGTAGTTTTCAAAGAGACTTTGGATATATGCTGTATATCCTTCTGCTTTTACCACTCCTCTGGAAATCATGGCTTCTAAAAAGTATTTATTTCTTATAGGATTTTATATATTTTGATCTGTGGAGCTTGAATTTATTGATACAAATGGATATGTTTCATTTTTACAACTGGACTATTTAATTTCTTTTCTTAAAACTACTTTTCAGCAATGGCAAATCAAAAATGTTATCATGCAGGGCTTGATGAGTAAAAAGACACACAGAAGGAGGAAACCATCTGTTTGAAAGAAGAGTATCCATCCTCTGTACAGGGGACAAGACTATAAATAAAAACTTACTGATCTGAAAGGATATTGGAAAGTACCAGTCAGATTCTGTTTTACTGTTAAGCCACACTTCAGTACATCCTGGAAACCAAGCATGGACTAATGGAGGAATACTCTGCATGCTTATTGATTTCTTTATTTAGTTTGCAGGCAGTGGAATTGAAACACAAGGATCACTGTTTTCAGACTTTTTACTTTATTCTGAAAAATTACAACAAAAAGTTATACAAAACTTTTGAGCTCATTTGAAATTGTAGACACGTCTCAGAAGTAAAAGTGGGTTTCAGTTGGTATTGTGGCATTTTAATAACATGAGATCTTTATTCTCTTCAGGTTTCATGGCATCAAATGAATTCTACTTTTGCCTCTAATTTTGTAGGACCCTTTATTTTCAGACAAGCAACAATGTTTGAATCAATTTAAATTACTAACCTCTTCTAATGAATGTCACATAAGGTGTCATCCCCCTGATAAGCAATGCTGGAAATCTGGTAATGGATGAAGAGAAGGCTGAGGTACTTAAAAACTTTTCCCCCTCAATCTTCAATGGCAACTTCTCTTTCCACACCTCTGGAGTGGATAGACAGCAGGGTAGGGACTGGGGAGCAAAGTCCCTCCACTGAAAACTGAAGATGGGTAAGTTTTAGATCAGATAGGAAGGAATTCTTTACTGTGAGAGTGGTGAAGAACTGGCACAGGTTACCCAGAGAAGCTGTGGCTGATACACCCCTGGAAGAGCTCAAGGCCAGATTGGATGGGGCTCTGAGCAACCTGGTCTAGTGAAAGGTGTCCTTGCCCACAGCAGGGGGAGGTGGAATGAAATGACTTTACAACACAAACCATTCTATGATTCTATTATTCTATTCTATGACAGACCTTGTTAGTTTTGTATCTCATTTAGTCTCTGAGATGATGGGAATATCCCAGCAATTCCATGAAGAATTTGTGAGCACTCCAGGCACTGTGCATGAAACATGCCATTACTGCAATTCTTACAACACCATGTCATGGAAGCGCTCTCAAGTCAAGTAATACTCATATAAGTGACTCTTAAAAGCTGAGCTACACTTAAAAATTACCTTTAAACAATCTGAGAATTTCAAACCAAACAGAGTCAAATTTTAGAGAAGATTCTCAGCTGGATACCCAGGCCTTCAGCTGTGGTCCTCCCACCCACCCTTTCACATGGAGGTGGCAGGAGTTTGAGGAATACAGATGCAGAAAACAGCTCCCTTTTCAAACTGTACCAAGAAGTGAGGCAGCTCCTATTAGAACTGGATAAGGACTTTTTGATTGTTTAGTTTCTAGAAAAGGAAGCTAAGGGAGGATGTCATTGTTCTCTTCAGCTTCCTGAGGATGGAAAGTAGAGGGGAAGGTACTAAGCATTTCTCCCTGGGATACAGTGATATATGGTCTGGGAATGGTGTCCAAAGTTGCATCAGGGGAGATCCAGAGATGGCATTAGGAAACATTTCTTTACCATGAGGTCTGTAATAGGCCTTCTAGAGAGGTGGTTGATGTCCCAGACCTGTCAGTATTTAAGAGGCATTTGGAAGTGGCCTTAGTAATGTGCTCTAGATTTTGGAGAGTCCAGATGATTGTTGTAGATCCCTTCCAACTAAAGTATTCTATTCTGTTCTATTAGTCTATTCTATTCTATTCTATTCTATTCTATTCTATTCTATTCTATTGGAATGTGCACATACAGGAAAATATGGAGAGTAAGGGATTGCAGCATCACACATCCTCTGGGGAATTGCCACAGTCCCATTTTGGAAGATGCCTTTTCAGGCCACTTGAGTGAAAGCAGTGGTGAACTCTGGGGATGGGAATGAGGATGGCACCACGTACTGCCAAGGTCTCTTCACAGCTCCTGAGAGCCACTTCTCCAAAAAAATTGTATTTTGAGGAAAGACATTGAGGAGCACCTTAAGAAATCACTGGCTTCTTTTCTGTTTTATATTAGGCTACCTCTTGGTGGTGTTTTTTTTTTTTTTTTCTTTAGCCAATGAAACCAGACAGGAAATGGTGACATTTCAAATTTTGGGATATTAATGATTTGACTATTATTGCCTTTCATCAAGGATACAGGGCACTGAACACTTGGTCTGTCAGGGTACACCAAGGGCTGCTGCCCCATGGGAGAAGGTCAGCCAGGAGCTGAGCACTGTCTGTGGTCATCAGATTTTTTGCCTTGCTCTGTAAATTGCAAATACACTACAGTGCACCATTTCAAGGAGTTTCACAGCTGGACTCTTTTTTTTTTTTTTTTCTAAAACCAAAAGAATCTAATATTGTATGTAGCACCATATCAGGGTCACTTGGGTCATATAAACAGTCTCAAGACATAACACCCCTGTTTTGTGTAAATGGTCATATACTTTAAGCTTGTAGTGAAGTTTGCATAATTGAATAGTACTTTTGGATGTGATATATTTCTTCTTGTGATTTTTAAAACAGGAGATGGGTATATACTGGGAAGAGTCTTATAAAACTTAAAAAGCAACAAAGGATGCAAAATCCATTTGCTGATGTTTGCACAGCTCAGTGAAACTCTACATAAATATTATTATACAATCAGATAGAAATAGTGTGTTGGCTGATGGTGAAACAGAAAGGAAAATGTAAAACATTCAGCACTAAGATTTCTTAAAAACCATTTTGGAAAATGCTTAGTTTCTGATGGAAAATGTATATTTCATATTCCTCTGTGGTGTTTATTCTTTTATTGGTTAGGCAGGCTTTAGTATCATTCTCATCAATCACATAGTCTGAAAAAAATCAGCTGAAAATAAGGTCAATGAGACAAAGAGAAATAGCTCATTGTTCAGGAAATTTTTTATTTTTCCTTGTCTGATTAGCTGTATTTTTGCTATAGCTGAATTGTCAGCTAACTATCAACTAATGCCCCAAACCTGCAAATACATATTCATATGCATATTAACTGTAAAGGAATTTAGCCCCTTAATCTGAGTTATGTACATGAATAGTCTCAGAAGAGTGAGCTTCTAAATTATGTCCTGGGGTGTATTATACAATGTCAGCAGGGGTATAAAAATGATAGTTGTGTGGTCTCACTTTGAGTTTGCATCTCCTCAAAATATATATGTCTGACATGGTTTTCTTTTAGATAATGCAAACATTTCATATACTTCTCAGTTTGCTGACATTTGTTTGAATATGCATTGCTCTAAATTATGGAATTTGTTCCATAGAATTCCAGAAATAATGGTATAAAATTATAAAATTACTGGTAACTATGTGCACTGGAGGCAAAGAAAACTACTGACTAGCTTTTCCTGCTCACAAGAATGGAATAATACAACACTGACAATATAATCTTAATTCCTTTCTTTTGCATCCATTTGCAGTACCAATGCTTTTGCATTAGCCATCATTATCACAGAAACAAGAATAGCATCTGCAAAACTAAAATTGAATTCTTTGGTAGGGGGGAAAAAAAAAGAAGCACATTAAAATTTGAAAACATATATAATAAATTTTAATCCATACTTTAAATTGACAAAGCCAGAATTATTTATAAAGTCTTTTCCATCAAGTATGCAGGAAATAAAGGTGAGAAGTCACACCCTGCTGCACAAACATTTTATTACATTTACCCACCACCAATATCAATCCACCATAATACCACTGCTCCTCACGAAGTGTGTGCTGGGGAAAGCAGCCACAGTGCATTACCTGTGGCTGCCCATGGCTCCCATGTGGTGTCCCTTGCTAATGCTTGTCCCTTAACACCTTGATGGCAGAGACTCACAGCACCCAAGGCTTGTTATGGTGACAGCTTCATGATATCAAGGCGAAATGAAAGTATCATGACATTTATGATGTTCCTGAAGAGTTGGCTTCAGGAGCCATTTGAAGTCACAAAGTCTCAGCATCATAAAAGAAGTCTGCCTCAGTCTGAATGGTGACTGAGTCTGTGGAAAAGAACCTGGAGTTCAGGTTATTCATTTGCATTTGCCAGACTGTGAGGAATGATGGGTGGGAAAAGGGCTCCCATCAGTGCCCTAGGCAGGTGGCCTTGTCATTGTCAGCCAGAAATGGATGCTCCTGCTGCTATTTCTGCCGTGCAAGAGTGACATGGTTCCTTATTCTAGGAGATTAGGAAAGTCCAGAGCTGTTTATTTCCCTCAGGGGGAAGGAAGTTCTGCAGCTGCCACAAGAGGCTCATGGGTCACCTTCAGCTGAACTGGGACTGGTTGCAGAAGAAGGGGTCCCAGTGGGCATAGTGAAGTTCCTTTTTATCAACAAGGCAGGATATCCTTTCCCTCTACAGAGCTTGGCTTGGGATCCAGGCTTTGCACAGAACATTTGCATGCTTTTTTGGCTGTGTGGGCCACTTACAGCCCAGCCCCACCCCCTGGGTGTCACAGAGGCTGTGTCAGTGTGGGAGCACACAAGGAGGATGGTGTGTGGTGTGCCATGGTGTGAACAGGCACTCTCCAGGTGACAGCTCCATTATGTAAAGCTAGATTGTTGGAAACAGTTGGGTGCTTTCAGCTCTACAAATTGCCTTTCACAGTTTGAGCTCCCAGGTGAAATGCAGATAAGCAAACCTAATGCCTGAGACAAGGAAAGTCTTACTGGACACCAGATGGTTCATATGCAGATAAATGCATAGGGAAGCATGTGGGATTTCAGTCTGGTGTGGAGGTTTCCACACTGAATAGGTTTTGTTTCTCTTGGATCAGTGGTGGGGAAAGAAAGCTACACTGAGTTTATAAGATCTGGGATGAGCCTCCAAAACACACAGGCAGGCATGGAAGCAGTGCAGGTTCTGCAGAGGTCTGCAGTGCATCTGCTGGAAGTAAAGGTAAATAGATTCTTTTGTTGCTGATGTCGCATTATGCGCTACTTCATAAATTTGTAAACCTTTGTAAATCTGTGCATTCTGTTTCAGAGAAGACAAAGCCTCTCAGTAAACAAGAGGTGCTCACATTTATGTGCACTGCGCTCCTGGGCTGCCAAACAAATTCTCTCGGGAAGTGAGCCACTCAGAGTCCTGGTCAGTGGTTTCTTTGGAGGACTGCTGCTGAAATATTTTCAATGAAGTTCTTTCTTTCAATTAGACATATTTCTTCCAGAAACTTTCCAAGGAATAGTAATATTTTTTCTCCAAAATATTGGCTATCAGGAAACAAAATACTCCAGCTAGACATCAAACTAATTAGTAAATTCTGCAGTGCTGCCTCCCTGTAGTTCTAATTCAGTTAATTTTTATCCTTTCCCTCTATTGGCCAATTTCTCTGCATATGCCATAGTTCACACAGAAATGGTAATTCTGACTCAGAAGAGATGAGACCTCTTGACACAGATGAGATCTTGGGGCATTTGGGGTGAGCTCCAGTGTATAGATAAATGGAAGTATAAGACGCATTAAGCAATGCTTGAAGTTTGGTTGGGATGTAATTGAAGCTTTCTTTTGTATTTTGATACCTGTTGAATCAAAATTTTACCTGTAGGCCAGGGTTAGGATTTATCTGGGCATTCACAAAGTGAAGTATCCCCTAGATTATCAGACAGTAACATGATGATCATGATCTACTGTCCTTAAAATTATAAAAATCAGGCCCATAGTAGATTGTTACACCACAGTAAAACAAAACAACTGCTTCTAGAGGCTGCCAGGCTGGGTTTGTGTTCAAACTCTCCTCAGGCACAGTGAGCCACACATTGCTGCAGAGTGCAGGTGGAAGGAGCAGAAGGTACATTCCTGAAAGGACTGCCCTGAGAGCCAACACAGGATGATACATTCCTGTATGAAGATGGGCTTCCCGAGATGTTGAGTTTTCAGTGCTGTTGTAGGAACCAGATTGGAGGGCAGTAATCTGTCTGTTTCCTTTCTCCCAGTCCTCTGTTGTGTGCATAATAAATAGTTTTATCTTCTCCCTTCTTGAAATTTTTTCTGTAGCCACCAGCCAACACAACAGATAATAATGGGGTCAGTGTCATCTTTCTGTCACCTCCTGAAAATATGTTTCATTCCCATGACACAGACCACCAAACTACATAGGATATGTAATTGTATTCTTAGTTGCCTGAAGCAACTAAGGAACTAATTAATAATAATATCTTATTATGATATTGGATATTAATTTCCTTCTACTCAAATGCAAAGATGAAAGTTCCTGTCACAAATGGACTAATACTTCATTTTTAAAAATTTACTTTGGAAACTGTTTGCATTACATACAAGTCAAGCCAAAAATGAGATTGTTGGATTTTTCTTTGCCAAAGCAGATTTACCGTTCAACTCTTGTAATGAGAAGTTTTATTCAACTGTTTATGGAGCAGTTACTGACTATAAGGTAGCCATGACATATATATTACCTAGTCCAATATTTCTTATAGGTGCATGCTGAAAACTGCTCACATAAAAAAAGCATGAGGGTAATTTGGCTCCAGCTGTCTCTGAGCCAAGAGCAGGCCTGCCCACAGCTGCCTGGGTAGGCACAACTTCAGATTCTTGTATAAAATATTCCTCTTCCACTGTCATTCTTGAAAACATGCTGTTCCCCTATCAGTGTTCATGAATACCAAATAAAAGGTAAAGAAATTTCCCTCAAAGGAAACTCTTCATTTTTATTTAAATGAATCCTTAATGAATCTACTTAAGAAGAAATTGTCCTGAGATATTTCTAGAACTATCTGTGAACATAAACCTGTAAAATTAAAATATAAAATGTTAAACTTTTTATGGAATAGGATAAACTTTTCTTCCTATTTCACAGGAATCAAAGTCCTGTGGCAATGCACACTGCACACAGCTGCTGCTGGTGGGAGGTGATAGTTGCACCTGGACACACTGCCTACATCAGGACTAACAGGCAAAATACGGCAGAGAAAGCATGGAATCCTGAGGCCCTTGATCCACCATTTCAGCTTCTTTGGAGTATTTGCCATTCCTGACTTGCTGAAGGTGCTGGCCCATGTCTGAATAAGTGCAACTGTGCTGAGCAGCAAAAACTCCTACTTTGCTTCAGTGGGTGAGGTGTCCTATGCTGTTTTTCAAGCTTTAATTTGTAATAATAGTAGAACCCCTCATGAAATTTCATTCATTAAGAATCTTCATGCCCCCAAGAAGATATATTAACATTTGATGCAGAGGGAGGCAAAGAAGTATCTGGCATGAGACATCATCTTTTGACTCAGAGGATGTCCCTCTATAAGATGAGCATGAGCCTTGGGCAGATTGCTGTGGTGTTTGCTGGAAAAAAAGAAGTTGAAGAGAAATATCTGCAGAGAAGATCCTGGCAGGCAAGGGGATGGCTGAAGTTAGACTGGTAGCTGGAGCATGTGCAGGTGCTCAAAGCCACAGACTGTGAGCAGCAGTAGTTTAAACAGAAGAAAAAGTTTCCTACTAGAGTAAAATATATTTTAGCCATCAGGATGATCAAAAAGTAGACTTTGCTAATTCCTTAGAATTATCAATAAATAACTATAAATTAAGAAACAAGATAATCTTCACTGAGCTACACTGTCCTGCACCACTACTGTTTCTTGTCCTCTCTGAGACCTGCAGCACTGTGAAAACACAAATGTTTCCTCAGCTGTGCTGGCACACATGGCACTGGCTTTCTGTGCTGTTTTCTACTTCAAATCTCTGCTAATTTTCTCACCTATCTCACCCTGTCATGTTTTCATTAAGAAAAAATCTTTCACGAGATTATTTTTGCTTTGCTTTCCTTCAGTCTTCATATTGGATTGCATTGTAATTTATTTACTGACCTTTTATCTAATCTTAATGGTTTTGTTATTGACTGCATGATACCATAAGAGACAAATACCGCTGTTTATAAGAGATGCCCCTCAGGATTTTTCAGCCTTTCTTTTATAACCTGCACTGAAATTGTGTATTTTTGAGATCATTCCTAGACCCTGGAAAATGGTGAAAAACTCATTTATTGATTCCAGAGGGACAGGTCTGATCACTAAAATTAATAAGATTCTAAGGTTAAAATTTTCACAGCTCTAGCTTACTTCAATACCAATCCTCCTTGTGCATCTGAGGATACAATCCAAACCACAAGTCAGTAAACAATTAATTGACCTGTTTTTCAAAAGGATATATAGAGTTAGTAGGCAATTTACTTAGGCAGCTTGAGGCAGAATTAAAGTCTCATATTTTTAATGCTTTCTATATTTATAGGTACTGAACTCTGAAGAAAAATGGTGATCATCATTGTACATTCCTGTCAAAAACACAAGTCAGAGAATTTCACTGCATCGACTCAGTTAAAGCACATGTCAGAGAAGCATAAAGAGTTAATAATCCTCACATTTAAAATACACTCTGTATTTACAATCTGGATTTCACTTAAGCCCCTCAGTATAGGCTCTATAAATTTCTCTTTTCAACTGTATAAACCTCTGCTCCCTTCTCTCAGCACAAGTACTTAGAGAGCATGACCAGATAGTGAAAGCCATAAATTCTATGAATTTTGCAATATTTTGTGAGATGCCTTGGTGTCCCTTTCATTCGCTTTTTCCTTTTTTTAACTATAAATAGAACCTTCTTTCTGCAACCAGTCTTCAAAGGTCACCTTACAGTGTTTTGCGATTTCCCATATTAAGCAGCAAAGCTTTTCAGCTGACATTCCAACTTCAAGTCATGCATGTGAGCATGATGTTAGCTTGCTTCAGACCTCAGTGAGAGGGCTGCAAACAAGACTGCAGTATAATTGCTGAGAAAAATAACATCCATTGTCAAAAGGGGCACTTAATCAAACAAAATTTAGCTGCATGAATACAAGTGTCTCCAAATATTTGGTTCATGCTAAAAATATAGCACATTTATTAAAAATATATATTTATAAACATTGGTATGAACAAACACAGATGTTAAGCAAATGAGAAAGGAAAAATAACCATGTAATGTATTTCTCCCAACATTTTATCAGGTTTAGGCAGAACTTGCTCAACAGAATTGTTTTTTTTTTTCATGATTGCACCATATGTTCATTCTAAATAAAAAGCTTGTCAGATTCAATGTAAGTAAAAGCAAAAACCAAGAGAAAAAAACATTTGACCTAACAGACACATGATCTGTGCTATGAAGCTATCTTTGAGTTCAATCTTTGCAGGTATACAGCATACATTTCTAATTATATATAGGTTGCAGTTTCTTTCTTTTCCTTTCTTTTTTTTTTTTTTTTTTTCTTATTTTTTTGTTTTTTTTTTTTTTTGTGTTAAAACAACATATCCCTGGTGGATTTCTTCAAAGCTACAACTTATATAACTGCAGTCATTCTCCCCCAAACTGAAAACCAAACCGAAAGGGAGAGGCAAGAGAACAGTTAAGCTTATTACTGTGTGAAAAAGTCTTCTTAAATTAATTGTGCTTCAGTCTTCGCTGCCTTCAGGCAGTGCTTTTATGATGTGTTAATATAATACAGAGTCAATTCTGATTAAAGAACTTGTCAATAGTCAGCAGTGTTTGTTGTCACTCTTAATGGCCATTTCATCTGGTCTAGTTGCATGCCTTCTAGTTTACAACGTTGTATAAATATACACAAAAATGATCACAATGAGGTTCAGAATTGTCCCAATAATTCCAAGCATTGCCAAGATGGTTTCTTCTTTGCTTTCCTTTTCTTGACTGCCTTTATCTTCTTCATTTCCACTTGTGATTACCATCTTGGTGGCCAGTTTCTTTATCCTCCCCTTCAGAATAACCTAGATTTAAGAACAAAAACATCAAAATGGATTATTAGTTAGAGTATAGAAGCTCACATTAATAGTGGAGCCAATGGCAGAATGTTTGCCCCATAACACATTTTATTAAGAATTCACTTGAAAAGGATTAGTATTTCTATTAGCTGTTCAGTAAATAATTAAAATGATAGTTCAGCTATTCTGTGCTTTACTTATAACCCTCTGCTTACGTGCCAGCACTCACTCCTAGCACACATAACTCAGCTGCTATGTCATTATAGAACTGGTCAGAAATGTACCATGAGGTGTGACTCCTCCAGCATCAGTGGGGACTTTGACTGCACAGGGACTGCAGGAGATCATCTTGCCATGTGGTGGAGACCCCATATTTACACTTCAGTGCCAAGAAGCAAGTGAGGAAAATATAAAGTGAGGGGGAAAAAAGCTCGGAAGATCTTGCTTTTTTACTAGGAAAAAATCATTAAAGAGAAAGGAATTTTGTCTCCCGATGAGAAGGAAGACAGCAGTGACTTCTTAATAAATAATTCAAAATAAAAGCAAAACCAAAATAACATCCATCTTGGCTTTTATTTTCCTCGTTCTTAATGTATGATGAAAAGTTACTTGCAGTGCAGTGAGCTGAAATGTATCGATCTGCCTGCAGGGAGAATACAGCCATTTCCCAAGCAACAGCCCAGCCTAAAAAAAGAAGATTCCTCAAATGTGGGATGAGCTTTGACTCCTAGCACAGCTGAAGCCACAAACAAAGAAGATTCTTTGGTCTTCCCACCATCTGATTGTTCGAATTAGAAATGGATAAATTCTTATCTGTGTTTATCTAACACTGCAAATTTTAATCACATGGGCAAACCAGAGTGTCCCAGAAAACTGAAAAAGGCTGGCTGGTCTCCCAATGCCAACTGATCTGCCAAGATCTGGGTTCAGGCAAAGCCCTGCTGCTATCTTCCAAGCTACAAACCATATCCCATCGTGTTTCTGCAGCAGAAAGCAGTGGTAGGATGTAGGAAACAAAAGATTCCCCAACAGCTCCTGCCTAAAAGAGGGATTTGATTGAGTCCTTCAGTGGATCCTCACACCTTCCTCCATTAACTCACAAAGCAAAACCAGTACCTCCCAGGCAGTGCCTAAATTCAGGGGCGTGAGGGCTCCCCAAAAACCGCCCACCACCACCTCTGTGGGCACCTGCCCTCCAGCAGGAATCATCAGAGGAGAGTCCTGACCTGCAGCACCTCTGAGCTGCTCCTGCACTGCACAGCCACAGAGCAGCAGCCAGAGCACTGAAAGGATGGAAAGAACTGGGAGAGGTAAGGAAATCCTGTGATGGAGAGACTGAGAGGAAGAACTGAGGATCCAGACAAAACAACCTGTATTTTTGTCACATCTGCAAGTTGTTCCTATATAGGACAGAGAGTAACTGCTGGCAGCTTCCTAGAAGTGTTTGATTCCCAGAAGGTACAAGTGATTAGTGGCATGTAAGGCAGAAATTGGGCTCTTCAGAGGCCTTTGTACTTAGACTTGCATTAGCATTTACATGTTTTGTCTTGTTGTAACCAGTGGATCAGAGGAAAAAAATAAGAAAGGAGTCAGAAACCTGAGAGTACCCACAGCAGACAGCAGTCAGCAGGACCAGAGGGCAGGACCAAGGAGAAGGGCATCAAACATCACAGCATGATCACCCAGAAGGTCTTTAGGTAACCTGCCCCAGGAAAGCAAAACTCCACAGGCACCAGGTACCTCACAGAGATATGGCTCCAGCCCTCAGAAACTGTGTCCAGCCACAGCCATCTCCAACTCTTCCTGCAGCATCCACCTCTTCCAGCAGCAGAAGGGTTTTGTTGTTTCGCCCCAGCTGGTGTCCAGAGGAGGGTGCATGTCCTTCCTATCTTGCTGATTGCCACTGAACAGTCAGTGGTATCTTAATAAGCAACTTGTCTCTGAGAAATCACAGGAGAGCTCCTACCAAAGCCATTTACACTGATGTCACAGCCACTCCATGTGGCATCGGACACAACCCCACATCCCAGGCTGTGACATGCAGCCATTACTTCACCCACGGAGCCATGAGTCATTTGGATATTCTGTTCTTTTCCCTTTTAGTAACTGGAAGGTTTTCCCTCTGGCCAACTGTTTGCATTTCACTGTTTATTTGAGAAATCAAGTAGGATCACAAATATAGTCTGATAAAATCCCAGGCCTAGAATGCAAGGATTTGAGGGGAGAGTGAAGTTTTTTCTGGCTGGTTCCCACAAGAGCTGAACGTTCTTAATTCAGCACGCTGGTTCCCACAGAAATATCCCAAGCACCTTGTGGGTCAAGCCTTTGTGGCTTGAAAAAAGCCAGGGAAGGTACAATTTGACTCTGTATTCCATGCTTTGGGCAGTTTCCCATTCACACTAAAAAAACCCACAGAGAGTGGTGCACAGCTGAGGGGGCTTTGCTCTGCAGCCACTGGCACTCTTAACTTCGGTACAATGACCCTGCACCACATGTGCTGGGAAATCCTGACTCCAGGATTAATGTGAACAGAGGCAGCATGGTGGCTCACACAGCATCTGATCTCCTGTTATTAACATTCCCATTCTTTTCTTAATAAACTGTGCAGCACGAAGTCAATATCAAATTCTCTCCTGCAGAACGCTAGATCCTGAAATTAACATCCATCTAAAAAGTAGCTAAATAATTCACAAACGAAGGAGACATATCAAAGGCTGTTAGATATAAAGAGAAAGCCTCTGGCTTAGCAAATCTGTGAGCTGTGAATTTTTGTAAGCTAAGAAATTATTCTGGGGAAGTATCACCACATTTTTGCCTTATTATTAAAGTCTCTCCTAGGCACCCATTACTGGCTAATGAGAAAGGCAGAGGTCCTCAGGCTGCACAATCTCTTATCTGAGGCTGTACAATCACATTTTTCCTCTTTGCAAGTTATACTTATTAGCAAGGGGATAGTGGGTGGTTTCAGTTCAGGTGACATGAATCAGACTGCCAGGTTATTTTTGTCCCACCAAAAGGCCTTAACTGAGGGAGAAGTCCTCAGTGAGATGCAACAACATATGCACAGAGAAGCTGGTGGCTGGAACATGATGAACAACAAGGGGGCATCAGCAGCTGAGAGTTTACACATGGAGATGCACAGTGTGATTTGGAGCTGGAGGTCGTCTCTGTGTGCCTGTGTGCTGTATTTGGCTCACGCTATGGTGCAGCCTGGGGCCGCATAAACTGCATCTTTTTTGGATGAAATGACACTCATTCAGCCCATGGCAGTAGGGATCCAGACAAAAGCTGGTGTGAAGTAAAACCCCCAGAAAACACACAGTGTGGGACTGGCAGCACAGGTTTCCCTGGAGGGATTGCTCCAGCAGCTCTGCGCTGCTATTTTATAGATCGCCTAAGCTACAGGAGGCAGCACACAATGGCTTGGTATTGAGAGGAGTTTAACATTCAAACAGGACATGACTGGGACCAAACACAATTATATTAGTACTTTGCCAAATATAGCACTGTTGAAATCAAGGTAAGCGTTGACTTTGTACAGAATCAAAATTACTTCTCCATATGTAAGGACTGACCTTGGGAGAAGAATAGCACTCTCCTAATGGCAGACTCAAGCCTTTAACCTTCACAGGTCTCATGCTCGGAGTGGTATTTTTGCTGGCTGAGGTTTGTGGGTGTATTTTGCTACTGGGGAAATACTTGCTGTCAGTTTTAGTATAATTACCCCAATTAAGAAAATAGAAAAGTCATCTGGCTTTCTGGGTACCTTTTCCCAGTCTTTATTATGCTCTTCTAGAAATGGATTTCATTTATTTGACATTATTTAATATTTTTGTGATTCTTATGACACATTTTCCCTTTTATATTTTTCTGGTGGTGCTTCATACTTGACAGAACCATTCCTTTTCCTTACCCAGAACCATGGCTAGAACTGCTCAGATAGGAGGGCTAGAGAACACTAAATTTACCGTTTCTTTTAATAACTATCCTTCTTATTTAATTACTACCTCATTAGGAAAGCACTTTCCTGCCACATCAAAATTAATGTCTTTCCTACTTCATTTTGTAAGATTCATCATTCACCCAACATCAGCCTTTTGTACAGATACGTATTCCAAAAAGCTATCCATTAAAAGATAAATATTCTGTGTATTCTGCACTGCACATGGGACACAAGGACAGTTCAGTGGTTACACTATTTATCTCCTTGCACTTCTCCTGACTTCATTCCTTATATCTACAGGAAATCCACTTATTCTCTCTCTGCCTCCGTTTTTCTTTTGTGGGATTCTTTGAAGAATGGGTTATTCAGCCTACAGCAGAAAATAGTCCATAACAAAAGTGGGGCCTTGCAAATATTTCCAAAACAGGAACACACTAACATGAAAAATTTTATATCCAGCTGTGCTATGAAATACACCCAGTACCATCTCCCCAACTCTGGGGAACATGCTGCACATCACTGCCATTGCAAACAATCCAATGAACCAGGAAAAGCAATTCTAGCAAAAGATCTTTTTGCATCTCTTCACTCAGTATGACTGATCTAAAGGTGATGGCTTGATGGCAGGGCTTTGGAAAAGGCAGTAGTAAGTGCATGCTTGAGAATTTACTGCAGTATGTTTGTCACATCAAAGGTACAAAGCACATCCCTCACAAAGCACCTGCTCTGACATATCTGACAGGTTTTGAATATGCTGGCACCTTGACTTGATCTTGAAAAAGTTTTGTAATATTAAATCATTCCTCCTCTAAATCATTATTTATGAGCTCCCCAAAGAGGCTGCAAGTGGAGGGCTCAGCCAGCAGAATCTGAGCTCCTGGGAACTCAGAGAAGAGGAGGATCATCCAGGCTCTCCTGGAGGCCCTCACTGCTCCTCCTGATCAGCCCCGTGCTGTCATGTATTATCTGACACCCTGAAAAAGAAGAGTGGAAACTTCTGAAAACCTCCCAGGATCGGATGCTCAGCTGGTACAAAGCAGTCTTCCTCCCCCAGTTCAGCTCA